GAATATTTCCAACGCTAGTCTTGATAATCCAACAAAACGTCGTTCATCATCCGTGTCACGAAATCACCAAATACAACGATCCAACCAGCGACGTTGCACATTCACTGCTTATGATGCTGACACTTTGTTCAAGTGAATACAGTTCCAATTATCATATAAAAATCTGCTGGAACTGAACAGTTTTGAGTTTCGAGCTTTGAATTTTTTGGTGGAAAAGGTTTATCCATAACGATAAAGGCATTTTGCCATACAATTCATCCCTTTTACTATTAACGACTTTTTAATATGATCGCTTTTTTGAAATCAGTTTATCTAAAAGACATATAGTCCAATAAATCTTAATTGTTCTAGGCGAAATCGATTTCTCAAGTTTTTCGTTTTTGAAAACTTGTAGAGATTCCTGTGTTATTATTGCAAATATTCTATCGTCTATTTTATAATTCACCATATACTTGTGCGATTTAGGCAGGAGGAACTGTCATCTCAAAATTACCGAAACAGACGTGAATTTTATGAAAATCAGAAGGACTCAAAACTAAGAAATGATATTCAAGAAAAGAAGGTGGTGTTCGAAAAAAGAGAATCCGAAAAGGCAGTAATCAATACAAACAACTTTTTAGGAAAGCATGCTTTTTCAGGTAAGGTAATTCCCATATGAACTGTGGGCTATAATTATGTTCATTTGATGTAAAAAATTTTGAAATTTTTTTTACTTTAATAAGCGAATGAGTAAATATAGCTTTTTTAAAAGGCTTAAGATTTTAGGGTTAAAATTTATAGGCTTTAATGCTTCATATTACGAGATTTTTTATATCTATTCAAATCCATCGAGAACAATACTAAAGTGAATAAATTTAAATGTGCCGTTTTGTAAAACTACAAAGGAAATTAATATGACGATGAAGTTCAATGCAGTCACATGGATGCTAATAAGCTAAACCTCTGGGAAGCTCGAAACTTTTCGGACACTTAATGTTTATTGTGAATTTCGATCTTCATATTTTAAAGATGAAGTGGCGACCTAATTGTATGACAAATAAGTCTTATTAATTGCTTTCTCAATTCTGGCTATCAGACAAACGCCACAAGACGGACGCGAATAACAAGGAGAAAAATATTGGTTGGTATGTGGAGCATCTTGTAACAACATTTCACAACACACGTTATGTCGAATACAAGCAGCGTAATTTTGTAAAGAAATCGTTGTCGATCTGGAAGACATATTCCTGTGCGGATGTCATAGGTAAGTCAGAACTTCGAGTAAATATAGAGGAATATATATATAATTTTAAATTAACTAAATTAATTCATTGGACGGAAATTTCAGATGCTTGGTTACCAAACACCAAAAGATCAAATTCCAAACATGAAGCAAAAATAAACGAGGTTCGAAATGTATTAATTTGAGAAAATTTTATAAAATTCATCACAAAATACAGTTCAGTATGAGCTGTTTGCAAATGTAAACCAATTGAAAGGTACTTGCTGCAAAATTTAAAAGCCCATTCTAGGGATATCCTCTCGGATTATCAGCTTATTCCAATCGCGATCAACGAGTGAACGACCGAGGCATTGCACCCAGTATCGTACAGAATGCTGCTAATGAATTAATCGAACACAAATTAGTCTTATCAGCACCTCCAAGGTTTTCTTTTACATTTATTAACAGTTGCAATAGACGATGCAGTTTCCTTTTTCATACCAATCACATCCTCTTTGTTTAGTCCTACTTGATATGACCTTCTGCTAATGATTTCCTAAAAAACACTTGAACGGGTAGCATGGCAGACTGTTAGATGATGAAGATGAGAAACCCAAATATCCTATCGGTTATTTTGTTTCCGTGTGAATTGCAGTGGTCACCCATTGAATAAGGAATAAAACTCGAACCCGCCAAAGCTTCCGTTATAATATGATTAAGAGCGGATTTAACTGTAAAATTTCAAACAGAAGACGAAATTTCTGGAAATCTGTCACCCTTTCACGACGACGAAGTGTCAGCAACAATTATTCAAAGTATAAGTCGTCTTACTTCAATCCTGGATTCCACTTTGTGGAAGACGAATTGGAAGCACTGGAGAATGACTGCAACGCAGTTATTCCAACTGATGAGAATTATACCCTTTCATCTTATATTTATTCCAAAGGATTACCACTTACCGATGTTTCTCACCGAATTTGATAATGCTATTTCTGACATTTATAAGTGTGAGAGCAGAAACCGAAAAATAATCATCACAAATTAGAGAGCACATCCTTTTCATTTAATTCAGTAAATATATTTTCGATCGGTCCATTCTAAGTCGTTCCATCTGTTTTTAGGATTTAGTAATTTGGCCAGTTAATTTCCAATAAGTAAATGAAGAAGGTATATTGAACAAGCAAATGAATTCCCCATGGAAAAAGGAATTATAAGACTTGAAGAATTCAATCCCCAATAATTCCAATTCCACATTTCAAGGTGCTGTCTACCGTTAGTTTTTTCTTTGTCCTTAATAGTTTAATCAGTTTGCTTGCAGGCAATCCAAAATATAATTTGAAAGGTGTATTAAAATATTTCCTGCGAATTAAAGTGATGAATTAAATTTTTTTTACCACAATAAATAATTAGTACTGTCTACCTAAAAACTGATATAATATATGGAATTTCAGTTTAAAGCATAAAACAAACGAAGCAGTTACAGTTGACAGAGCAAAAAAACAGCGATTACATGGGTAACACAGAAAATGCGCTTTCCTATCATCAAAATAGCCACATGAGAATGGCATATATTTTCTTGAGCTGACTAAAACTATTTTCTGTGGCAATATATGTGGATTATTGAAAAAAATTGAAGTTTTCATGTTGGTTCTGATATTACGTTTTAAAAAAATGCCAGCGAACTATTGACTGAGTGGGGTTCTGAATCAAATCGATCAACAGTTCATAAAAGTTTTATGTGCTGTTAGAATTCACTGCTGGAGAACGTAAGATTCATAAACCGCATTTTCAGAATGTTTAATCTTTAAACATTTAACAATGTTTAATATTAAAGTAAATTTGTATATGTGATAAAAAATCCTCATTTAAACACAACTCTTCCTGAAGCTATCAGTTTTTGTCAAATTCACTATAGGCCTATTTGAACTGACTAATGACAAACTTGAGTGACTTGTGAATTCGAAAATTCATAACACTCCAGGTGGACCTTGCCTTCGTACAGAATAAACTGGTTCTTTCTCATACACTTTATTGAATCGCGTTTTCATGTAATTTTGAACAACTTCTTCTTTGTGCAACATTTCTTCGCTTAATTGGCCATTCTTCTTCATTTGCCTCCACTGATAACGATTCAGTGGATGTCCATTGCCATAACACTTCCTAATGAAAGCATATAACCTACAATCAGTTTTCGGATAACTTTTCAATACACCAAATCGTTCGCAAAGCTTCCAGGGAAGTCTTCATGGAACAAATGATTTACAAGAAGACTGAGAGTCATTTTAAAGCAGAAATACATCTTTAAAAAAAGATTTTAAATAATTGTTTCGTTTCAGATTTAAAAAAGAGTTTAGAGGACAATGAAACGAACTGTTTGAAACAAATCAAAGAAATGAGCATAACAAATGAAGCATTACATATTGTTGGTAAATTAAAATTAAAATCTCCTTGCTTCAGTAAAGTTAAAAACAAACCCAACGGTATAAACAAGTACGATAGTAGTAGCTTTCACAAATATTCGATCTTTCCAATGTCGACTCACATAACGCACATTGTACAGCAACCTTCCCCAATAAATGCCTGTTGTTGATTTTGGCTTGAAATACGGTACTCTCCCGTCAGCATTCACAACATGTGGCTCACGATGACGTTCAGACATACCCAAAATAGAACATTTCTCCAGACTTTCCAATGATCCCACTTTACATCCGGATTAGTTGAGCGGCAAAGAACAACTCCATGCGAAATATATTATGTCGTATATGAGAACAAGATTTTAGGAAACTAAATTTCTTTTAAAGGTTTTCTTTTTTTTAAATCTCAAGTTCGTGATCATTTTCGACCATCTATCCATAAGAGAATGTTAGAAATTAATCACTAACCATGGATGGAAGCTTTAGTAAAAATAAAGTGAACATATAACTTGCTTTGATCACATTTAACCTTGTACTAATAATGAATTTTAATTTTTGCCTCCTCCCCCAACAAATAACAAACAAATGACAAATGGTGTAAAAAATCTGAAAAAAAATTAGGCTACAAAAAAAAGGAAGATCAATAAAAGGAAAAATCATTTACGATAACAAAAAAGAAAAAAAGGTGAAGAAAACAGACTGCTAACTCAGGAAACACCTGGATAGCACAAGGACGAAACTTCCCGATCAAAATATAACGTCACTGAATGGTGAGAGATTACTAATAATATAAGGACATAAAAATAACTAGTGAAACAAAGTTAATGTATTGAATTACTTTGATGATATATTGAAAAATAAATCACATGAACAATCAAATTACAATGAGATGGAGTATACTGAGGTACAAGCAATTATGCCAATAGAAGAAGAAGATTGCTGATTTCAAAATGAAGTGACGCATCATACAGTTTAGGCATACTATCTGTAGCAGTAATCAGAAAGGAATTTTATTAAAGTCGAAAAACAAATTGTATCTCGTATGGCAGTAGTAATTATGACCTTGAGTGAATAATAAAATTGTAAAACCTCAATTATTTCTTCATAGTTCTGCATGTTCTCCTCCTTTTTGGGTCAAAATCTTCTGACGTTTTCGTCGCTTTTGATTGCACATAACTATTTAGTTCTAATATACGACCAGCACGTCTGTAGTTAATACTGACGTAGTCATCGATATGATTCCGAAACTTTCTACGTAATCCATCCGCACACATATAACGAATCTTCCCAAACACTGGTCTGTTCTGAAAAGATACATATTCAGACAAGGGTTTTGCAGTATATGGAATAAGTGTACATTTGTATTCATATTCATTTCTTTTATTAACATAAAGCTATCGTGAAACTGTATTTACAGTCGTAAAAAGGTGGATACAGACCGCATGAGCCCGATCGTGTATGCCGAAGTTCCACATAACGCCACAGTAGCCATTAGGGTCTCGTCCATCCAACTCATATTTGTCATTTTGTTCAATAAGAAAAGCGTAAGCGCGTTCATAATCAGGGGACCATTCGATCACTTTTTTCGCCCAATACATACGAAGATAACCCGACATCTATGAATGACAAACAATTCATAGGCAATATAATCTTTAATTAGTTTTAATAAGATGTACTAAGTTGAAAATAATGGATTCTGAAACAATGATTCGCAGCAGCAAGACAAAGAATTTCATGACCAAACTGTCTCGTGAAAATACAGTTGAAAAAAAAGTTTGTTACTTTATGAGTGAAAACAAGTTCAAACTGTGCTGCATTCCAGTAAACATCATGCGTACGACCCTCTTCTAGCTCTTTGTAGTTATAAATATATTCTCGTTTATCAAAACGATGCTCTTCCATTGTTTTCTTTGCCCACTCTGGCAAGCAATCAAACTGAAAAACCAAACTTTCTGTTAAATCTGATTTAATGGCCAAAAAAAAGCCATCATTGAAAAATTAAACACGGATCGTATATATTTCTTAATATTGTAATTTTCACAATGATTACTATGACAGAATTCTGAAAAAAAGACTGGGAGATGATTTTTAATGAATGTGATTGGTGTAATTCTCTATGTGATGAGTTTCCTATTGTAAAGCAAAAATTCTTTTTATCCCAAACTAAATCATACTGTATCGTAAGTGTCTCTGTAGTAGTAAACAAAATTATGCGCTAGCTCCCGTCGAACAACCATTTCCTCCAAAAATGCATCTGAAATGCAAAATATGAAGTCTAACTAAACCATTATTGTATTAATTTCTCGTCAAACAAGGGAAGCATTAAATAGAAAACATGATTCATTTAAAAGTCGCAAATTTCTATCGAATTCTGTCAATAACAAAAAACGCTGAGGCCGAACTTCTCTTTATTATATGCGTACAATCTGTTAAGATGATTCATTTCCATGGAAAAATTACCTTTAGCAGATTTTGGTGCTTTAGACTGTTTGACTTCATTAACGATCGTAATTGGATTTAACATGCCAAAATGCATGTAAGGTGAGAGAAGACTCTGTTTTTTACCATTCGGGATATTCCTGATAAAGAAATTAGATATAATCAAAAAACCGAATAGATAAATGAAAAAAAACTAAATTCGTATTAAAATTCTCAAATTTCCATCAAATTCTGCTAATACGAAAAAAAGAAACAAACCTTTCTTTGTCATATGCTTTTAGATTATTTGCAATGAAATAGTCCATGACCTGAAGCGCAGCATCTTCGCCACCTTTTAACACACTACCTATTTTGCAATCAGCGACAGCTCTAGTATATTCCGAAGAAATGTCTGTACATTCCAAGTTATATTCTACTATACTGAAATATCAGCAGAGCATGCAAAAATAGTAATACTTTAATTCTAATATCTTAATCCTTGACCAGTGCACGTTCCCTAATTTTCTTCTGATCATTAATTATCAGCTAGTATGAAAGAAAATTTCCACTGCCTTGTAATGCATAACAGAGCAAAGGTTATCAATTATATTATTTCTTGTTTTTATCTAACAACAATCGAGTAAAAAAACTCATATCTAGTAACACCTTATAAAAAAAAAATCCAGCAAGCATATATATATATATATATATAAT